AGTATAATGTAATAAATAATGAGTTATAGCAGGTTCATATGGATGTTTTCCTAGAGATAATGAACCATGGAGAACATCATCTGAGGTACAAGTATAATAGTATAAATAATGAGTTATAGCAGGTTCATATGGATGTTTTCCTAGAGATAATGAACCATCGAGAACATCATCTGAGGTACAAGTATAATAGTATAAATAATGAGTTATAGCAGGTTCATATGGATGTTTTCCTAGAGATAATGAACCATGGAGAACATCATCTGAGGTACAAGTATAATGTAATAAATAATGAGTTATAGCAGGTTCATATTGGTGTTATAACCTATGTTATCCTAGAGATAATGAACCACCTGTGTGAGTTTTTGATCACTCAGAAGTGCGATTGTGGCCTTGTGACGCTATCTTGTTGATAGCTACGCTGAAGTGCGATGGTGGTTACGCTAAAGTGTGATGAATTTATACATAAATCATATTTTCAATTTTTTTCATGTTCACATCTGGATGTAGAAATCAATTTGATTGTTAGAAGTAGCTTTTCGTTTTTAGCTCACCGGGGCCCGAAGGGCCCCATGTGAGCTTATGCCATCACTTGGCGTCCGTCGTCTGTCGTTGTCGTCTGTCGTCGTTGTCTGTTGTCGTCTGTCGTCATAAACTATTTCAAAAATCTTCTCCTCTGAAACTACTGAGCGAATTACCTTTAAACTTTAACTAAATGTTCCTTAGGTTATCTTGTTTATAAATTGTATCCGAAGTTTGTATCCATCGACAAACATGGCCGCCATGGCTAAAAATAGAACATAAGGGTCAAATGCAGTTTTTGGCTTATATCTCAAAAACGAAATCTTTTAGAGCAAATGTGACATGGGGTAAAATTTGAAATTTTCAGACGAATCAAACAACCCATTGTTGCGTTGCTGCCACCGAATTGGTAGTTTTAACAAAATTTTGCAGTTTTTTGTTATTATTTTGAATATTATTATAGATATATATAAACTGTAAGCAGCAATAATGTTCAGCAAAGTAAGATCTACAAAAAAGTTAATATGACCATAATTGTCAATTGACCCCTTAAGGAGTTATTGCCCTTTAAAGACAATTTTACACAATTTGTTCATCAAGTTTGCTAACATTTAAAAATCTTCTCTGAAATACAGGTGAGCGATTTAGCCTCTTGTTTCTTTATGTAAAACATGGAGAGTTTTAACCGTTTAATTTAAAACAGTCATTGAATTTCCAGTCCTCACTGACTGTAACTTTGTAGTGTACATTATACTTTGTAAATAGCTTAGATAAAAAAAGCAGTCGTTCATTCAATCTTTGAGAACTTGACGCTTCTATTTGTTTTTTTTAAAGAAGTACTAATTGCGATGATAGAAAAAGAAGTGTGGTAATTGTTTGAAATGCAAATACTTCTTAGTCAGAACGAAACAAAATAAGAGAAAACTGTATACGGCTGATGTGAAAAATAACAAGGAATAAGATACATCACGGGTTTTTTTACTGCAACTGGAGAAAATTTTGAATGTTTTGTATTCATATACCAACTTATAAAAAATCAAGCCATCATAATAATTGAACGTCTGTAAATTTTAAACAAGCCACCCCCCTTCTTTTTGAAAACTTGTAAACGGTCAAGATCCCCACCCCGAAACCATATATATTCTTGTATGGAACAATAAAACAAATCAAATGAAATATAAGGCGAGTCCCCTTGGGTCACCCCCACCCCCTCCTGTTAAAGAACTTGTAAACGGTCAAGATCCCCACCCCTAAACCATATATATTCTTGTATGGGACAATAAAACAAATCAAATGAAATTGAGGGGAAATCCCCTGGGGTAACCCCCACCCCCCTTCTTTTAGAAACTTGTAAACGGTCAAGATCCCCACCCAGAAACACATATATATTCTTGAATGGGACAATAAAACAAATCAAATGAAACTGAGGGGAAGTCCCCTGGGGTAACCCCCACCCCCCTTCTTTTGAAATCTTGTAAACGGTCAAGATCCCAACCCTGAAACCATATATATTCTTGAATGGGACAATAAAACAAATCAAATGAAATATAAGGCGAGTCCCCTGGGGTCACCCCCACCCCCCATCCTGTTTAAGAACTTGTAAATGGTTGAAATCCCCACCCCTAAACCATATATATTCTTGTATGGGACAAAAAAACAAATCATATGAAATTAAGGGCGAGTCCCCTGGGGATCACACACCCCCCCTTTTAAGAACTTGTAAACGGTCGAGATCTCCACCCCTAAACCATATATATTCCTGTTTGTAATTTCAAGAAGATTTGAATGACATACAGGGTCAATCCATAGGCGTCACTTATGCATATCACAAACCAATTTGTACTGGACTTTGCCCAATGTCAGGTGACCATGGGAATGACAAATTATTGGAGCTTTGTTTGGGAGACTTCGTTACAGAATCCTGTTACAATTATTTCTTGTTATATATATATATAATATGAATCATTTGTTAAGGGTCCATAGTTTCTTAACAGTCCAGACATAACACTATGACAAAATAATTACTTTTGACCATTTGACAAAAAAAAGAAAAAAATTTCAAAAAACTTGAACCACACACTTTATCAGAAATATTTCATTGGATATATAGCAGTTTGACAAACACTAATTTCGATCATTGAGAAGCTTAATATTTCCTTAACAGTAGAACGTGATTAAAATGTTCATCTAATTTTTACAGAGTTAACTCCCTGTAGTGTTATGTACAACCTTAAAAGATACCCCAACCTAAGGCAAAAAAAAAATATGTATGTCTGTTTAAGGTTACATACTTTGAAAAAATAGGGTAGGTAGGTCGGTATTTCCATTTTATTTTATTTTTTGTGACATGATTTTGTTTCATGCTGTTTTGTCTTGTCGTGGTCCGAGTTGATCATGGGCCGAGTGTACCCGTATTTTTAAGGATTAAATTATTTCCCTTGGAAAAAAATGGCGGCAAAGTGTTTATTTCATCACACGAGTTGCGAATTTCCTTTAAACAGCTGTCATATTTATGATTGTGAACATTAGGATGTATCAGGCAATTGCCTTATATTATTTGCAACACTAACTTTGCTTTTGACACGAGTTCAGTTTATTTTTCATTTTACGACAGAAATAAAATGACTTAGGGTCGGCGCTCAAAAGTAGGGACGGTCAGGTAACCGTAAACAGACATATATTTTTTTTTGGCCTAATGATATTGTTCTATTTGGATTCAAGGTCCACAGTTTTCTACCCTTTCCAGTCACTATAAAGTGTTACAACTTTAATTTAGACACAACACATAAATAGTAATTGGAAAGGTACTGCCATTGCATGTGTAATACAAATATATTTAAAAAAAAAATAATGTAAGAGTTGAAATTGATACAACTATCCATAAGCCAATTGACCAAAGAACGAAGATTTGCACAATAACAGAATGCATATGCCTGGTTCGGGTTTAAAAATAAACGACCGTTTAAATACAAAACATGAGAAGTGACAGTAAACAGTAAAAATCGATTTGTACCATCGACATGATGAAATTATTAGGTCGTCAAGAAATGAACTTTGTGATAATTTACTCGTTCCCCAAACCTGAAATAATCCCATCGTCTACTTTCAAAATGCTTTTTAAATGAATGGGACTGTCTTTAACCTAAAGTATATGCCATACTGAACGTTTCAGCTTGTTTATGGTGAGTAAACCTGCGTCTTACAAACAACTGTTTACTTTCAGTTTGAGTTTATCGTGACTTACGATCTAAAAACTAGAGACGTTCCGAAATCCTGTTATGTAAACAAAGATTCATACGCACCGCATGGGTATAACCGTATTACTAATTTCCGATTTTTAAAATCTTCTTAAATCTGGATAAAGACCAGTTTCTATCCAATGGATATCAAAATGATTCCGATTTTCACTTTTTTTAATGATTGTAAAGTTGAAATGGCATGAAAGGCTGACATTATTTAGAACTATTTTGTCTAGCGATTGCTGATCATTGGAGGGTAAAAAGTCCAACACCATAACAAAACGGATCTATTTATCATGTATACATACCGACTGTTTACGATTGTAAGACATGTGCATAAAAGTGAAAGCTCGAATAAATATGAAAAATATAACAAAGGGATAGCTCCAAATACCATTTAATAACAAAAAAACATATGGACAGGTCAAGATATCTTTTTGGTAAATAAAATAAAGTATGTAAACTGGTTCCCGTCCGACTACAACACTTTGTTCGAGTGTAGCGTAATACAAGCAGATTCCAGTTAGTATGTAAAATAGTAAATATGAAACCGAGTGCGGTGGGCGGAGGCAATAATCGACTTCTGTAAGTTCTGGTCAATGGTATCGGAAACATGCCGCTGATAGCGTCATTTTCCAAAAAGAAGTGTGGTAATTGTTTGAAATTCAAATACTTCTTAGTCAGAACGAAACAAATTAAGCGAAAACTGTATACGGCTGATGTGAATAATAACAAGGAATAAGATACATCTACGGTGTACTGTAACTGGAGAAAATGTTGAATGTTTTGTATTCATATACCAACTTATAAAAAATCAAGCTATCATAATAATTGAACATCAGTAAATTTTAAACTAGCCATAACGCGTCTTATAGACCATCGCATATCAGCGACAGAACCATCGCACATCAGCAAAAGGACCATCGCACTTTGGCACAGACCATCGCACTTTAGCGTCCTTATCACAACTCCAAGTCCTACATATTTATATATATATAATATGAATCATTTGTTAAGGGTCCAGAGTTTCTTAACAGTCCAGATTCAACACTATGACAAGAAGGGTTCATGTCATAAATTTCAATACAAATGAAAAATATAACACATTCTATTAAAGATTGATACATTTTGTGTATAAATTTTTGCTCTATATCCAAGATTATTCAGGATTTATTGCCCTTCATTGCTATAACAAAGACACTAATAAATGTAATAAAAATCCAATTAACTGTCATTTTGTAGACTGTTGCTGAGAAGTTCAATAGGATTAATGACTTCAGAGAGGTTCATTTCACTCCAGGGTAAGTAACGGTAATTCATGTTTTATCACTATCCATTTGTTAAAGACTGTTTGCTAAATTTTGGAATATCATATGTTAGATTAAATTACATTTTTATTAACATTGTTTTTCCCTTATCCTTGACAAACAATATGTTATATTAAATGAATTACATTTTTATTAACATTGTTTTTCTGATTTAGTAACATCTGTATTATCCTCAAAATGTCATGGGTTCTTTGCCCACTTATGGCAATGCTGATGCTTTCTTTGGAGTGACCTAAGTTGTAACAAGATCTCTTCACATTATCAGATTTATTAAAAACAAATCTTAAGGTGGTACCATACACCTTGCCTAAAATTAAGCCGGCTCATTTAAATTTTATAAAATTTTGACAAAATAATTACTTTGACCCTTTGACAAAAAAAGTAAAAATTTCAAAAAACTTGAACCACACACTTTATCAGAAATATTTCATTGGATATATAGCAGTTTGACAAACACTAATTTTGATCATTGGGAAGCTTAATATTTCCTTAACAGTAGAACGTGATTAAAATGTTCAGCTGATTTTTACAGAGTTAACTCCCTGTAGTGTTATGTACAACCTTAAAATATACCCCAACCTAATGATATTGTTCTATTTGGATTCAAGGTCCACAGTTTTTATCTTTCAGTATATTTCTTGATACAAAGCCTATCACTAAGCTTAAGTTATCTAAGGATAGGGTGTTAAAATTGGCAATAACATTACAGGAAGACACTTTCAGATCATCCTAACTGTCCAATCTTTTAAAAACTATTAAGAATGAACAATTCGGTATATGAAAACTCTATTGATAATTTCATCAGATTGTTTGATCCAATTTAATAGAATATAAAAACAAAGGATACGGGGTATCCATCCATGTCACAAAATCAGTTTGCCCAGCAAAAAGCACAAAAGGCAAAGGAACAGTGCTTTTATTGCTGTTCCTCATCTTAAAGTCGCAGTGAGGCTTTCAACACCGAGCAAAAAAACAAACTCTCACTTTAGTGCATGTTTAAGACAGCCCCTCACACCGGATTGAGCAGAATTTTTTGCAAAAATAGTTTGGATAGACTGTAAGATGTAAAACCACCTAATTGTGCAACTCTTCCCCCAAAACCATTAAACACATTGCTAATTTATAGGGATCGATAAAAATTTGAATGTGATAAATTAATGATCGTCATTTTCCGTAAACAATAAATTTTTTTTTTTACCTATTTTGTCACATATTCTTCAACAAAAGTAAAATATTTCAGATTATTATCTAAATCACAAAAATTGTAGAGACTATCAAAGGTCTGCGGATACCACAAAATTCTCTACAATAAAACATTAAGTTGTGATTAAAGACAACCACTAACCTGGGACATGAGGAAAGTATATGAATATGGTAACCATTTTTATTGCCCTGCAACAAAATTGTCAGGGTCATATAGCTTTACTCTTATCCGTCATTTTGTCATTCCGTCGTTCCGCAACGAATAGTTATACAGACTTTTTTCCAAACACCTTTACATAGTGAGCTGATTTTTAATATGTGTGTCTACAATGATGAGTTACAAATTGAGTTTGCGTCTGGTTCTGCTCCACTGATTTGTGCTGAAATTACAGGTTTTGGACTTTGAAAATTTCGTTAATAAAAGTTATACAGACATTCATTCTCAAATTTCCACTCCTTAACATGGCTTTTTTGCGAGAGATAGAATTCCTGTCATTCCGACACATCAAGTTTGCCAAAATTTTCCAGTCATTTAACCTTTTTTTCAAATTCGAATTTTAATATGAATTTAGAGAGTTATGCACTACAACACTATATAAATTAGAGACACCAATAGTTGAAAGGTGTTCCAATGGAAGATACAACTCATAGTAAAACCAAACAAGGAAGGAGACTAGATGCGTCTATAGGATAATCATCGCCTGCTTTGCAAGAAATGCCCCTGTTTGATTCCATACCCATAATTGGTTAAATCACAATTCAGACAACTATTCTGGTATCTAGATATACAATTACATGTCACAAGTGTTTTGAGATCCAGATACATTATATCAACAAACCATTTCTTGATGGTGACTGAAAAAAAATGTATTATAGATTTACTTTCTTTTTGAGCAGTAAAACAGGTTAGTAGTTCAAATTCTTTAATGGTTTTATTTTATTGGACCTTTGATGTGTCAGTAGAATAGTTCCATGTTTTTACTATCCATGAAGAATTTAGTAAATTAAAGTGAGAATACAGTACAGAAATAACAAAATATGATAAGAGTTTAAAGTCTTAAGGTAATAGTGGTTAGCTGTATTTTTATAATTCAATAACTCACCAGGGGTTTTCAGTATTATCAAGTAACTGTTTCTCTCATGTCAGGGATTGTCTTATAACTACTGTAATAGTTCTCTATCATTTCAGTATGATCTTTGTGAGGTTTATATCTAAGAGAGGAGCAGTGGAAGCATTTGAAAAGTTTTATAAAGAGCTGGATATGAGAGTAGCTTATCATAGGAAAAAACAGTTCGATACAGCAAAACAATGGAACAAGGGGTCATTACAGAGTAAATCCTTTAAGGAAAATAGTACAGAATATTCAAACAAATGGCCATCACATGCCCATAATTCGATGCATCAAAATACCACAGAACATTCTAACAAGCAATCTTCGCATTCAGAAACATGTACTTCAGAATATTCAAACAATGCGTCATCACATGGTAACCCTCCTTATCTAGTCCATACAAAAGCTAAAAGCATATTATACAGTCATTCCACTGATCAAGAGGAAACAGAGCAATCCCATAATGATCCTACAAGTCATGGAGCTTGTGCAAGTTGGGGAAAAGAAAAAGATTCTGAATATCAGAAATGGTCAATGCCAGGTGGACATTCAGATGATAGAGAGTCATGTGATGAGAAAAATGAAAAGTATTTCTGTAAGACAAGTTATAGTTAAGTTTATAATTTAATAAAAACCGAATGAAACTTAAAATTTTTCCTAGATTAAAGATTAAGTAAGTCGAATAAAATTAATTGAAATATTTTAATGTATTAAGGAAAGGAAAGGAAAATACTTGGATTTTTAATTTACTTGATTCATTAATAATTCTGCTGATGTACAAGTCATATTAAATATGAACAATTTGTTAAGTAAACAATAATTAGAGAGCAATGTATTGGACTACACAATTTACCAAATTTAAGTTGCCACAATTAAGCTCTAATGATGAATGAGTCCACATAGGTAAAGCAAGAAAGTTATTGTGTATCTGCCCTCAGGTGGAATAGTAACTGATTCCCACTGAGAAATTACTTATCATTGCATAACTTATTTTAAATTTCAATTCTTGAGTGTAAATTATATACAAAAACAAAGTCAGTCTAAATGGTTAAGCTTTTAATATTTTTTTTAAAAGTTGAAATCATAAGAAAAATGGAAAGCAAATAACAGAGTATCTGTTGGTTAATTGGAGTTGTTGTCACACTACTGACTTTGTTCATGCACTCTCTAAGGAAAATACTATTTGGAGTCTATAACTGTTATTGGATTACGGTTAACACATGTGATATTAACATTTATTTGTTTCACATAATATGTACAGTAGAACAATTCTTTTTAAATAGAAGAGTATTTAAATTTTTATATTTACTTTTAATAGTAAATAATACTATTATGATATATATTTAATATAATCAATATATATATAATATTAATATAAGTCTAGAGATTTGCACAACGATACTAATATAAGATGGTATTATATGAAGATGTTGTTATTAAATCGTGTATATATTATTGATATATATATACATTTGATATATATTTTAGGTGTACCTTCATTGAACAAAGATAATCTGTCAACTGATGGTTCACGTAAATCTGATCAGGATAGCTGTACAACTGAGGCAATTAACTTCTCATATCTTAAACAGGTAAACTTACTGGAAACATATAGGTATATCAGATGTGTTTAAACCTTTTCTATACTAAATAAGTTTTTGTCTTGCTGGGACAAAAGTTGTTGTGGAAAGCAAGACATAGGGATAGCTATTCTGGCGACGGCTGCGACGTCAACGGTGTCAACAATTGTTAAGTTTTCTGCTTGAGTTAATTTGATCATGGTATAGTGAATTTACTAGCAATTTTCAGTGTTAAGTTTTCTGCTTAACATAGTTTGATAGGATCTACTTGATATAGATCAATGATATTTTGTTATAAGTTGAATTACTATCAGTTCATATCAGTTTAAGGAAATATCTTGAGGCGCTGCTCCTAGGTCCTGGTCCAATCACATTCTATTAATAAGCAATTTTTGTCTCGCCTTGACGGAGTCAAAAAGCGAGACATACGTATGCTGTTTCCGGCGTCGGCAACGGCGGCATCAACAATGTATTAGTTAGGTCAATGATATTTGGTATGCAGTTGTATTAGCATTGGCACATCTCATTACCATGGAGATTATTTGGCCCCGCCCCCTCAGTCAAGGTCTATTGACTTTGAAACTTTTCATAGTTTACATGTATTAGTTTGTGATTAGGTCAATTTATGGGGAACCACTAGTGATAGGTCAATGATATTTGGTATGCAATTGTATAAGCATTGGCATATCTCATTTCCATGGAGACTATTTGGCTCCACCCCCTTAGTCATGGTCTATAGACTTTGAAAATTTTGCGAAGTTAACATGTATTAGTTTGTGATTAGGTCAGTTCAAGGGGAACCATTAGTGGTTGGCCAATGTTAAATTGGTGTTCAGCTGTATAAGCATTAGCACATCTCATTTCAATGGAGAATATTTGGCCCAGCCCCCTCAGTCATGGTCTTTTTACTTTGAAACTTTTGCTTAGTTTACATGTATTAGTACATGTATTAGTTTGTGATTAGATCAGTTTAAGATGAACTGCTAATGTTAAGTCAATGATATTTGGTATGCAAATTTATTGGCATTTGCAAGTATAGTTTCCATGGAGCCCCACCCCTGATCATGGTTCATTGACTTTGAAACTTTTACATAGTTTACAAGTTAATGTTTGTGTTTAGGTTTGTTTAAAGGGAACGACTTATAATAAGTAAATGGTATTTGGTATGCAGTTGTATTAGCATTGGTACATCTCATTCCATGGATATTGTTTAGCCATGTACCTTCAGTCATGGTTCATCGACTTTGAACATTTGCATAACTTATATGTTAAAGTATTGCTATTTTAATTTCAACATTTGCATTATCAAAATTACAAAAAGGCGAGACATATCTCTGTGATAACAGTTTATTAATGTTAAGTTTTCTGCTTAAGGCGAAGTGTACGTAATTGCACGCCTCTAGCGGAATTCAGGATAAAAAACGTGCGTCGTTAGTTACGCGGGTTATCTCCCCTACTCCAAGAAAGGAAAAATGGGCACATGAAAGAGAAATGACTTCGTGCGGTCTATCATGAATTCAAACAAGTATTCATGTGCTATCTCAAAACTTCAAAGAAATAATTAGAATGACTCCAATCAGAAATCTGAGTATCCTATTGTGAGTTAGTCTGACTCTATTACCACTGTTTTTGTTTTAGACACGCAGGAGCAGGTACACAATACGACTCGTGTTTATTTCAACAGAAGGTAAAAACGCCTAAACAACAAAATTATAACCAAATAAAAAAAAAAAACAGTGACAATTCTGCTTCTATTTGTATCAAATTCATTAAAATCAAACCAGAATTGACCCCACAATAGTTTTTGAAAAACCATAGTTTTGAATGAAATGCACAGTGTACTGTAGATCCTGTAGCGTAAAATTGTAGGTAACGAATAATTATATTGCATGTGAATTTGTGTCTTGAACAAGAAAGACGTTGGCATGTCCGTTTTTATGCAATTGAAATTTTTATGATGTTTTATATTTTATTATTTATGTAAAAAGTATAAAAGATACTAAGGGGTAATCGACCACTAGTACAACATTTATAAGCCGAAGAAAAAGCCAACAGCAAAAAAAAACCCATCAGATTCCGTCCACAAAACATTACACACTCAGAAACTAAGAATTGTTCACTATTACATTTATCTCAGAATATGTAAAATCTATGTCATCCAAATCTCAGTTTTCAAGGTGCAGAAAATAAACAGGTGTCTTCTATTCCGTCCGCAATTTTTGGGGAAAGTAAAATCTAAATTTAGAACCATGGTTAAAACTGAAACTACACATGTATGATAAAATAGAACGTGTTATTTTTTCTTAATCAAATTCCGATTTCGAAGGGATAGCGAAATTTGTTCTCTTTTGTTGTGCTTTTGTGTATCATTCAGCAGTAGTATAAGGTAGGGGAAGAAGGGGTAGGGGTGAAGAATAATAGTTCTACAATGTCGGGGCTTTTTATAACCCGGCAACTATATACGGTATGGATTTTCTCATTGTTGAAGGCCGTATGATTGCCTATAACAATTGCTTACATCCACATCCTTTAAGGTAGCTGCATGGGGTGTCTAAATGTTGGACGATAGATTTTTCTTAAACTTCTGTAAGACTTCTGTGTCAATGTAATTTTTAATTTCAATATAAAAACTCGGGATCACGGACCTTGTTTTTTCGTAATAACACATTGAAATTAACGAAATTTGGGTTATTTTATATTGTTGATATAGGGGAAACTTAAGTTTTCCTTATTGCGGAAACATTAAACGATAGAATTGGCTAAAATTCGATGAGAGAATTGCTTTTCATTAATAACTCCGAAATATCAAATAAAAATAAGGGGTCACGGGCCTTATTTTCTTGAAAAAATCACCAAAAATTTTAAATATACTTTACGACACTTACTTTCTTGATAGTTCAATCTTTAAAATTCAAGTTTTAGGTATTTTGTTGTATATTAAATGATACTTGGTAAAATATTTTTAAAACAAAAAAGTTTTTGCAATTAACGTGATCAGAACGGACGCTCAGAAAAAGACACCCGATCTACCTTAAACGTGGCAGATAGTTGTCTCATTTGCAATCATACCACAGCTCCTTATGTTCATATTATATTAACAAAACTGCAATTCATTTGCATTATATACAGGAACAATTTGTATGGCACTATACTAGGTAAACTCGTATAGCATCGCTCTTGGTACATTCTTATAGCATTGCACCAGTACATTAATTTATAGCATATCACTATGCACAAAGCTTTAGCATTACACAATACACAATGCTATAGCATTATACACAATATACGCAATGCTAAGGCTAATACTGGGAATGATCTGTGCTACGTGAAGTTAAAACTCCGATCTGTTTTACTTTGCTAAAATTCATATGCGGGTTCTTCTTTGACCTTATTACAGTCATAAAAATTCTCAAGATAATATGCAGATGCAGTTTTCTTATTTTTTTGGGAGTCGTGCATGTGGATATTAAACAAATTATGGAACAAAAAATTATTTCCTTTTTTACTTAAAATCTCCAGCAAACATTAAATCATGCTTTGTCGTGTAGTTAAAGAAAAGGGAAAGCGATCGAGACAGGAAATTTTTAAAATGAAATTGCAGAGTTGTGTCACGTGCACTCGTGTGAACCTGACAAAAATGGGCTTTGTGCGCAATCCCTCGAATAGCGCCGGAAATGGTGAGGATGAAAAGATGCAGCAAATTATATTCACTTTTTTAAAATACAAACATGCAGAAATAAGATTTTAAAAAAGACGTGTGTACGCGATCCCAATATTATAACCGATTATTTAAATACGTATAGAATCATTCTGTCAACGCTGTGTTTACTGGGACAATTTTAAACTTGATATTTGATTCATAATTATTAGAACATTACAATATAAAAAAAGAACATGTGGCATGATTGCCAATAAGACAACTCTCCACAAGAGTCCAAATGACACAGAAATTAACGCTTGAGCATTTGCAATAATTAGGAAAATGGGTTATACACACTCACGATTTTGTTACGACACTGTACGGTATAATAGCGTTATAGAGTAGAAATTGTGATGACGTTACAGAGGACATCAATAACGTCGCCGATTGTTTTTATTCTTTCCGCTAGAAATCAAACTTCCACAGGATATAGCTTGAAAACTAGCACGGTTGCTAAGGACTTTCTTTGCACCAATGGGTTCGTCGTTCATTTTTGAATCGCATATCGATTTTTAAAAAAATTCTGTGGAGCAACGAATTAGAAAATCTTGATAAAGTAAAAATATCTGCCGATTTTTATGATTTTCCCTATATATCCTTTGTATTTTTGGCTTATCATGCTGTTAATTTCAACAGCTTGTATCTGAAAAACGAAAACGGTTACCCCCTTTTTTTATTTTATTGTGTGATGTATTTTTACAAGCAGAATCCACATGTAAAATTTATAAAAATTCTGTGGAGTAGTTAATTACGTACATTTCGCCTTAAGTTAGATTGATAGGAACTACTTACAATAGACCATGATATTTTCTATAAAGTTACATTACTGTCTATACATCTCAGTTTGTCCATCATTTCTAGACCCTGCCCATTAGATCATGTACATCTCAGTTTGTCTATCATTTCTAGACCCTGCCCATTAGATCATGGTCCAGCAACTTTGAATTAATGTAGCAATGTTGCTGTCCATCATAGTGGCTTTTTCTGAATTTTATGCCAACAAGTGAGACATATGTCTGTGTAAACAGTTTATTATGTACATATTATGACTTGACAAGTTATAGGTCTTAGAATCTTTGTGTCATTGTCTTCTTTCAATTTCTCATACCACAGATTTCAGTTTTTGAGTACTTTCAGTTGTGAGATAAAGGTTACTTCTACCGGTAATTATTTTTTTTACAACAAGTAAACACCTTGTACTGGAAGAAGCACATAGCTTGAAAGATTTGTGTTTATTGTAGTCTAACACACCTACATCAAAGAAGGTACATACAGCCTAGTTTACGCACACTGGCTGACTTAGGTTAACATTTATCTAAGTTCTGAGTAAAACAACAACACAAGTTTGTTAATTAACTCACCAGTTACAACCCAGTTGTGAATATGTCTTTAGTTCGAGGTGAATTAGTTTTTACATGTTCACCACCTTTGGACTTTAGTCAATACTATTTGTATTACCAGCTTCTTGAATACAAATGCAAGCTTTATACATGAAATTATAACTGATGATGCAAAGTTACCAAGACTTGAAAAATATTGCTTCTAGCAAGTTTAGAACATCAAAACAATGATCTGATGAAGCTTTTACGTCTCATCAATCATATGGAAATGTATGCTGTTGTAGCACAAACATTGCTAACTGGAATTTAGTTCCAGTGGACATTAAATAAGGTGTCAAATTTTCCAGCTAGGTTGATTACTAAGTTCTTCCAGTGAAATGAACTTTTGTTTGTATTTCAGCTGCAGAAGATTTGGAAAAATTGAAACTACCACAGTTTCACATCTTTATATCACTGAATGTATTACCAGAAGTATAACAATTAAGTCATCAACAGATGGCATGCTGGTCTGTTGAGTAAGAAGAAAGGATAATATACATATTAACATATATAGAGGTTATTGCAGTAACGTTTATATATAGAGGTTATTGCAGTAACAACAATCAAGACTTGATTATGTGAAGCTATTAAGAGTAACAACAGCATTGACTAATGTGTGAAGGATTGTAGTTAATGAGAACAAAACTTTTGTTACTAAGAGAAAGGATCAAAGGGAATATCAGTTATTGATAGTATAACATGACTGTTTATGAGAGCAAATTATCATTTAAGCAAATACTTGTTCATAATTTAACATTTATGTATTTTTAATCTATTGATTGGAAGCAATGGAGATCATATTAACTTGATGTACCTTTTTCATATGTGTTGAAGTTGTTTTTAAGTTTTGTTGCAAATATGTACGGTTCTATCACCGCATTGCTATTTTTATTGGTTTAAATTGTAGTGTTTTTTTGTTGATTTGGTTTTAGAATTTATTGAAGTATAATTTAACAATTAATCAAAAAGTTTTGGCTGTTGTAGAAATATAAATGATATTTTTCTATTGTTATGATATAATCCTTTTTAACAAAGTTTATACAGTATGAGCATATAAGAGTACATATCTGTTTTCTAGTTAAAAACAGAAAATGGCTTAGAAAATGTATATATAACATTCGTTGAACTCATCATAAGTTATAGGTAGAAATGGCTGCTGTTTTTGCTGAACTTGGCATGTAGAGGCCAAAATAAACAATAAGGCAATTCACCTTGCTTGCATCTACTTTCAAATTTATGTAAAGAGACATGTCATCAAACAAAAAATCAATTTGTTTTTTAAAAAGTCCCGTAATGGACCAAATGCTTTCATGCTATTAGGAATAAAAGTTTATTTTTCATCCATTGAGAATTGTGCTAAATGTGACCTTTATTATTTGCAAACTTGGCATTCTTCATCTTATCCCTAAGCTATATTGCAAGGAACTTGTCTGTCTGCTCTTCCAACAAATCTTTTTTAATGAGTTGAACAAGGGTGCATTTTTTTTCCTACTTTTTTTCTCAGATATATTTCTTGTTTGCAAATTTCTTTAACTTGAATTTGGGAGAAAAAATATTGGAAAATATGAAAGGGACATAATTTATGTTTTAGTTGTAATTAGCTTTGAACTAGCTATCAGTAACTGAGAGTACTCTTAGATCCGTACTTTGCATCTTTTGTATTTGTGTTTTGTGCCAATCAAATGAGTCGAGTCATTGCCAACTGATTTTTACAGTTTGTTTATTATGATGTGCTGTAACACCACTGTCCCAGATAAGGATAATGCTTTCAGCTTACAAGCATGTTTTAGCCAACCATATTCTTGATGTCCCTGTCCCAAGTAAGGAGCCTGTAATTCAATGGCAATTTTACCATATCTCCTTATTTACATTTTTTCCACATGTATCTCCTGTACTACTCAACAGAAACACTTCTTATTTCACCAGCAGCTTGACAGTGACATGTTGTAATGCATGAGTGCTTAACAGATCCATCAACTACCTTCTACCTGTTTGCATATTACTTATATATATTCCAATATGTTGAATCTAATGACTTTATATCCGGTATGAAGTTTGACACTTGATAATGTGTAATGTGTAAGCACTTTTGAGATTTGTAAGACACCTGCTTCCTGTTTTCAAATACTTTGGATTACAAGTGTGGCATGCTTAGCACATCATGTGCAACTTCTTTTTAAAAACTGAATTTGGACAAGAATTCCAAAACAAATCTTAAAAAAGTAATTTGAAAGACAAATTAATAAACATTATTTTAGAATAGAATACTGAATGAAACATTCAGCTTACTAAAATTTACTAAAATAATCTTGGCTTGAAAACGGATGATTTTGGCTTGAAAACAGGGCTTATCCGTAGCCAGTATCATGCCTTCATTCTAATCAATTTTGAAATGAAGTTTTAAAAAATCCTGGAAATCTTGTATACATTTATTCTTCTGAACCAAATGAGATTTTACAGGGTTACAAATAGAATTACTGGTAATAGGAATCAATCCAATTGAGCAATACAGGCTGGTTAGAGGTTATATTACTTAACTAGAAAGTTTTTTGTCCATTAATGATTGTTATGTTTTATTAAGGTGCATGGAAATTTGTAGATATATTTATGAAAAAAGGCAGGAATTGTGTTCCTAGGTTGTGTTATGGTATGATGTTATTGACACTTTGTTTGCAGTTTTAAACAGTTTCAAAGTGAATGCATTCTTCGTTTGGATATGTTTTGATTTAAAGATATATTCATTCATGTTTTATTGATATAGCTTATTTGATTTTCCATTTCTTATTCGGGTATTCTTTTCTGATTCTATAAAATGGGTTATTTTATTTAAACATCATTCTGATGTTATGAAACACCTTCTGTGAAAATTGACTGCTATATCAAAATATATGATCACCTTGAATCTCCATTCATTATCTTGCCTTGTCTCCATTTGTTTTGTCATACTTATTGCATATTCCAAGCTATCAATGTCTTAATGCGACTCAACAGCTGAAATCACAGAAACTTACAAGACTCTTAACAGGAGATACAATTGGGCATCTTCTTTACATTTTGTCAAAGTCAAACACGAAAATAAAAAGTATCATCATCAAAGGAGACTCACTTATTGTCTATTTTTGGGGAATTTATGATATCATCTGTCAAATGAGTTCTTATGATTTTCCTATTCCAATTTTGTACAATTCGTCCTTTACTGTTTGATCCAATTAGTCTTCTTATCTTTTGGACTTCATCATCGGAGATCAAATCTATCTTGCAGTGTTAAAAGTAATTTTAATTTTTTCTTTTCTAATGAGGTGTTATTGTTGTGTCAGATTTCGTTTTCAAATTCACACCAGGAAGGAAAGGAAATATATGTAAGCTCCTTTGAATTTGCTACTCCATACTAGAACTGCCGTCTTTGTTTTTTGTATCTTGTCTTGTCTTCTTAGATATCATAGTGTCTTCAAATATTTCTTGGAACTTTCAATCTATTAAACGAATTAACGAATTCTGAATCTACTATTTATTTGTAATCTATTTTCCAACTCTTTTTCTTTATGAAAAGCGAAAATAGTCATATGGTTCTTGAAAGACTTCGAAGGTCAATTAACTACATTCTTTGAAAGGGATTATTTGGGCAAATAAAGAGCAAGGGAATGAGTATGAAGATTGGTTACAGATTAAGTATGTTCCTGTGTGGTATGAATCCCCTTAAGTCATTCAAAAGTTAGAAATTGTAATAAATATGCCTATAGTACTTTCTGTACTTATTTTTAGGAATTGGAAAGGCTATAAAATGTGTTTATTCCTATTTAGTTGTAAAATGTCCTTTCCATGGTATCTTTAATTCTCATATTTGCATATTCTTATTCTATTCCAGTTATCTTTATAGAATGAAACCTGTTTCAGCAGAATCCTCTTTAGGGTCAGATAATTTGTTTAGTTGAACCAGATATGTGGGGTTTATAAAGATTGAAAATAAATTGATGTTGGGGGAACAGAATCAATCAAACGCATGACTTGTTTAGACATTTGAAAATATTCTAAATATTGGTCTGATTGTAAGTTCTTATGTTTTTTTTTCGTATTTTCGTATTTTCTACATTCTGTTGCTTTAGACAATAAGCTTTAGACATTTGTGCCGACAGACTGCTTGTCTCCGTTGTCTTCATTCATAAAAATATCAGAACTTAAGAATACCAATCAAAGCATTATTTGTTTCAATACATTGTCTGTGACCCTTCATAATAATGGTTAGGAAATTATTATAAATATAAGTTTCATGTATTTCAGTTCCTTAAAGAGATCGTTATTATAATTTAGTGTTATATAACAGTTCCAGGAGAAACTGATCATATCTAAAGGGTTTTTATTGTAATAAAATTAAATGATCACCTATATTTTTCTGTGACCTTTCAAGATGATGGTTCCAAAATTAGTTCAAATATAAGTTTAAAGTATTTCAGTTCCTTTTAGAGAAAGTTATCTTATTTAAGTGTTATATAACAGTTCCAGGAGAAGCTGGTCATGTATAAAGGTTATTTGTTGTAATAAAATAAAATGATCACCTTTGTTTGTTGTTTGTCTAAATCCTCTGTCAATGTTTCTATCGAAGAATCATTTGTTTTAGCATATTTGATGTAGTCCACTGTTCATTCCCTATTGAGTAGTAAGATGTCCTTTCTATTGTTTCTTTAGTCCTCATATTTGCATACTAGTATTCTTATTCTATTATTCTAGTTATCTTTATACAGTGAAACCTGTTTAAGCAGAACCCCTTCATGACCGAAGAATTTTTCCAATTTAACCAGATATGTGGTTTATATAGGTTGAAAATATATTGATGTTGGAATATAATGAATCGGTAGCATATCTGGTTACGTTTTAACAGATAGTCAATGTTCTAACTATAGATTTGAATGCAAGTTTTTATGGTTTAAACCTTACAGTATTTTCAAGCTTTCTACTTTCTGTTGCTTTAGACAATAAGCCTCACACGTTTTTGCCTACAGACTGAATTGTATTTATTTACATTAAATGCATCCCCTGTAACAATCACTTGCTGTGATCTTACTATGAAATAGATCGTTGCATTGTTTGAAGTTTGATCTTAAAACTCAAAACAAGAACTTAAGAAGTGTATCACCCAGAGGTTTGGTTCCAATTGATGCAATAAAACGGTTTAATCATTAATTTTGTTCTTTACATTTAAATTTTGTATCCATTCATTATAGAGTTCTTAAATCACTACACATGCATGTATAATGTATTTTAGTTCCTTTTAGAAATAGTTATCTTGTTTTAGTTTTATATAACAGTTGCAGGAGAAACTGATAATGAATTTAAGATTGTTTGTTGTAATAAAATAATTAAAATGTTTACCTTGTGTTTTTTCTACAGTTCACTTGTCAACTGTTACACTTCAGCATCATTTGTGTTTGCCTATATCATATAGTCAATTGATAATATATAAATAACATTTAGCTGAGAGGGTGATAGAGCAGATTGTTACCCCGAGAAAACATTGTCAACTGA